GCTTAAGCCCAGGAGTCTGAGGTTGGTGTGAACTAGGCTGACGCTATGGCACTCTAGCCCAGGCAACAGAGTGAGACTTTGTCTCAAAAAAAAAAAAAAACATTACCATTGTCCTATAAAGTGTCCCCCTCTTGGTCGGAAAAGGACCCGTACTCTGAAGTAGGATCTGTTGTCTGTCTTTATGAACTTTCTGTTGCTAGTTGGCTTGCAATAAATAAACAGTTCTTTCTGGTGCAAAGCCAAGAACCCATTTGTGAGTTCAGGGGACCTTCTTCCCTTCATTGGGGCACCCCCTGCATCACTGGAATTACAGGCGAACTTTTTTTTTTCTTAATACAGTTATTGAACCTTTTTATGTGAACTATGGTTAAACAATTGCTATGTAAAATATTAAGTATATGGTATTTGGGAGGCTTAGGGGAGAGGATAGCTTGATGCCAGGAATTCAAGACCAGCCTGAGCAACATAGCGAGACCCTGTCTTAAAAAAAAAAAAAAAAAGAAACCAACCAAACAAACAAAAATATTAAGTATAATTCTTGCCAACTTTATATCAAAACATAAACAGTAGTTTTTTAACTACTATTTCACTTAGGAGAATATTATAAAGAACAGTGGACTAGAGGTCAGGAAACCTGGGTTATGTATTTCCAGTTCTTTCTCAAACTAGTTATGTGACCTTTGTTAATGGAAAAAGAACCCAAACTCTGTAAGATAATTTAAAGCGATTTATTCTGAGCCGATGTGTGTAACCACAGCCTGGAGCACATGGCCTTGAGGTCCTGAGAAAATGTGCCCAAGGTTACAGTTTGGTTTTATACATTTATGGAAACAGGAATTACACATAAAGTCATAAATCAATATATGGAAGATATACATTGGTTTGGCCCAAAAAAGCAGAATATTTCCAAGCAGGGGCTGGAGCTTATAGGTTATAGGTGGGTTCAAAGATTCTTTGATTTGTAATTGGTTAAAGAAATGAAGCTTTGTCTAAAGTTGGACTGTTTTAAGATAAAAAAGTCTGTTGGTCAGAGACAAGCCAGGGACATATACTGAACTTAATGTGATCTGTTAAGTAAATTAATAGCCTTCAGGTGTGGTTTAACCTTTGTCTTGCATGGCCTTAGGTCCTGTTAATGATTTAGTATCTGATTGTCCAACTTGTGTCCAACTTCCCTTCACTTCCTGGCCAGGAACTCAGTTTTAAAGTTTTTCTGGGGTCCCCTTTGGCCAAGATTGGTGTGCGGGATTTTAGGATTTTATTTTAGATTATACCTTGGGCAAGTCATTTAATCATCCTGAGCCTGGGCACCCATCTCTAAAATATGAAGAGTTTGATTAGTTCCTTTTAAAAAAAATTTAAATGATTTAACTTTTTCAAAATTATGAAATATTTCAAAAATGCAGAAAAGTGTAAAGAATAAAATAAAGAATACTTACGTATGTAACACCAGATTTTAACATTTTACCATGGTTGGTTTAGAGATGTGGCTTTTTTTTTTCAAAGATAAAATATTTCAGATATAATTGAAGCTTCTTATTCCAGTCCCTTTCTGGTTCCCCCAAGGCTAAACACTCTTCTGAATTTGTCATATATTATTCTGTAGCATGTTGTAATACTTTCATTATGTATTTATGTGTTTTATTTAAATAATTCATGTAGTTTTAATGTTTTTTAATGTTATGAGGACGTTGGTACTTTGAGACATGAGTCTGCCAGCCTCCTCATTTGCTGGCAAATTAATAAACTCATCTTTCCTTCTCCTCAAAAAAAAAAATGTTGTGTATATGATATCATACTGTACATTTAATATTTGTTGCTGGTCTTTGGTATGTAAACTTTTTTCAGGTTCTGTCTAGCTTGCTAAGAGTTTTTTTGGTGCTTGTTTTTAAAAGATGAGTGGATATTGAATTTTGCCAAATGCATTTACTAGGGTGGGAGCTCATGTCATGGGATGAGAAAGAATTCTCCACACAAAGATTAGGATAGAAAGAAGAGGTTTATTTTACTTTTCCCCAAGAGAAAAAGGGAAAAGGGCAAAGCACGAAAGAAAGGAGTGCTTGCACTGAGGACAAGCAGCTTGGGCTTTTTATTGTGGGTTATTAAAGGGGTAAAGAAAAATTAGTTGCTGTAGACTGATGCAGGAGACAGCTGTGAGATGTTAGGGTGTTTGGTTTTCCCTTTTTTTTCCTTCTCCTTGAGGCTGTCTTATCGGTCTGCTCTGGAGTGTGATCTGACAGGTCTGGTCTGGTGTATGTCAAGGAGCTATCTGCTCAGCTCTTTTCAAATGCTGTAAATACAATCTCTTCAGGTGGTTAAACTTAAAGACAGCTAGTTAAGGCCCATGTGGTTAAACTTAAAGACAGTGAGTTAAGGTCCATGTGGTTAATCAAACATGGGGCAATGATTTTTCTGTCCTTTTATTTTCTGTTAGATAGTTTATTAGTAATGCCATCCTTTCAGCCTTTTCTGCATCCATTGAGATGATCATATGGTTTGTCTCCTTTAGCCTTTATTAATGTGTTGAGTTCTATTAATAAATTTTCTTTTTTTTAATTTTAGATTTTCTAATGCTACACTATTTTTGCCTTCCTGGGATAATTCCAATTTAGTTATGGTGTTCCCTCTTAACTTGTATGACTTCTGTAGCCCTTTGTGAATATAGGGAAATATAATTTATTAACTCATCGTTTTGTTCTTCTTCACAGGCAATTTTTAAGTGATGTGATTGCAAATACTGTTACGGAATTGGAAGATTCAGGCACTTTCACAAATCTCCTGTCAGATTTAAGCAAAGAGAGGGAAAACAAAATGCATTTCTATGATGTCATTACCAGGTCAGAGTAATGTTAAGTTTATTTGTTTTGTTGTATTTTGAAGTGCCATAAAACTCTTACCAGAAATCCTTGATTTCTAAAGCAAACTGAACACGTGCTTTCCAGGGAGGACAGTAGAAGTCAGAAATTTGGGTTCTACTCTTAATTCTGCTGGGACAATAACTCAGATTTCTGGGCTTTAGTTATCTTTATCTATAAAATGGTAAGCATATTCTTCCTCTTATAGTAATCTTTCTTAACATTGAGTTCACTGAAAATCCTTGAACAACAACAAAGGCATGCCAAGGGAAGTTTTCTTTTTTCTTTCTTTCTTTCTTTCTTTTTTTTTTTGAGACAGGGTCTTGCTCTGTTGCCTGGGCTAAAGTGCAGTGGCATCATTATAGCTCACTGCAACCTCAAATTCCTGGGCTCAAGCAATCTTCCTGCCTCAGCCTCCCAAGTAGCTGGGACTATGGGCGCACACCACCATGCCTGGCTAATTTTTCTATTTTTAGTAGAATCGGGATCTCGCTTTTGTTCAGGCTGTATACATTTAGATTTCATTTTTGTCTTTTATGCTTTATATCTTCTTTAATTTTGTTGACTTCTCTCATCCGCATTGCTTCTTTCCCCAATCTCTTTGACTTTGTAGGTTTATACCTTTTATTATTCCTTTCATATTATTTCATTATTGTTTCAAGAAGGAACAGAAATAGCTGTATGTATTCAACTGCTAAATAAAAAGAGAAAGTGTGCATAATTATGTTAACTGAAAAAATTAGGGTAAAAATTATATATATGATATAATTCCAGTTTTGTAAAAGAAAAATCATAGTATGTATTGATCAGAAGGAAATATAATACATTTCAACCATGGTTAACTCTAGATAGTGGGATTGTAATAGAGTAGTCACCCCTCCTCCCATAGATACGAAAGGGTAATATTGACTGGAGGGAATATGTAACAGAAGAAATGGCTTGAAAAAATGGCAAAAATGTTTTCTACCTCTCTAAAACATCCCCTACTCCTTTTGGAGAACTAGGACCTGCATCCTTGCCTCAGGCCAGTGGTCAGGAGGGCAGGGGAGTATCCTTTGTTCTTTGTGCCACAGAAAATGGTATTAATCCAGGCGGAGGTCATGAGATTGTCTTAGCCGAAGATGGGATTGATCAGAACCTTTAAAAACTCTGTACTTCTGCTCAGAAGCAGGATGCTGGTACTTCGTGATGGGAGTCCACCAGCCTCCTCATTTGCTGGCAAATTAATAAACTCCTCTTTCCTTCTCCTCAAACCACTTGTCCTAGTTCTTCTGATGCAGCCTTGGGGACAAGTGGGGCCAAACTTTCAGTAATAGGATTATGGGTGATTTTTATTTTTCTTCATACTCTTTTTGCATTTGCTAGGTTTTTTAAAATGGGCATATGTTACTTTTATAATCTCATATAAATATCATTTGTTTGTTTAAATGAACCTGTCCTTGGGATACTGAATTTAATAGTAGAGAGAAGTATTTGTTCTACATCCTTCTTATCTGTTTCTTATGATCTGTAAATGGGAAATACATAATCTATAATTTGTTTTGGCAATGACAATCTGAAGATTCTAATTAAGTACATACTTTCTAAAAATTCCTGAGTAAAAATCCTTACCTAGATACAGTTTAGTGGTAAAGTTTTTTGGTGGTTCTTTTGTTTATTCTTGTGTTATTTTACTTTTTGTTTGTTTGTTTTAAACCTAAATAATGGGTTTGCTGGGCAAGGCATAGTGGCTCATTCCTGTAATCCTAGCACTTCAGGAGGCCTAGGCAGGAGGATCACTTGAGCCTAGGAGTTCAAAGCTGCAGTGAGCTATGATGACACCACTGCACTGTAGCCCGGGCAACAGAGAGGGAGACCTTGTCTCATAAAATAAATAGATAAATAAGTGAATGAATGAATGAATAAATAAATAAATAATGGGATTGCTGGAGAGAAGGAGAATTCTCTGTTTCTCTGAGGAACAGTAACATAAAGTAGTTAAGTTCTCAGACAATACTGAGTTTGAACCCCATTCTGCCATTTACTGTTTGTCTTCTGAGACATAGATGCCAAGATGGGATTATTCATGCAAAGATTTTATCAGAGGAAACACTTGTTCGAGAGAAAATGGGGAGGGAAACTTCAGACCTAATGCAAGACCGGCCCAAGGAGAGGGAAGGTTGCGTGGAAGGGACTGCTGTGCAGTCTTAAGGATGATTTGTCAAGGTCATTGGGGAGCCAAAGTCAACCATCAAAGAAGTCCTGACTCTCCCAGAAGGGCCTGCCCTAGTATCTCTGCCACACTCAGTAATTGGGTGGGAGCAATCGATGGGAAGTGTGGCCTCAGAACACACACAGTGAAGGATCTCAGAGCCTGGAAGCTGGGACCCGTGTTTGATTATGCTTCCTGTGGTTGAAGGTCTGTGAGGCATATTCTTATGCCCACAACAAATTACCTTAGCTCTCTAAGACACATTTTTCTCATCTGTAAAATAGGGATAATGATAGACTACCTGATAAAGTTATTATGAGGTAAGAATATGTAATTCAAGTGCTCAAAATAGGAAGGATTCTTTTTTTCTCTTCTTGTGCCTCTTCTTTGCTTGTTCTCAGCAGCAGCTATTTCAGATGCAACACTGATAGGCCAGAATTACATCTTCCTCCAATTTACTAAAACAGTCTTTTAAAAAATGTTACTAAAAATATGTTCCATGGACTAGCAGTATTAGTATCACCTGGGAACTTATTAGAAATGCAAACTTCAGGGCCCCATCCCAAACCTCCCAAACCAGATTCCCTGGTGGTAGAGCCCAGGAATCTGTTTTTTAATGTGTAGGTGATCCTTACGCACAGTAAGGTTTGAGAAGCACTGCTGTAAACACAAATCACTCTTATTTCTTTTAGTGAGGAAAATGGAAGAAAAAAGATAAAATCTCTTCAAAAACAGCTAGTTAATGTGAAAAAAGAATGGCAATTTGAAGTACAGGTAAGAATTACCTGCATAACACCAAAAGTTACTGAGCTAAAACAGCTATTTAGAAGACATCTTTTTCAAGCAGAGAAAAGTTATGTATGAAAGATTATTGTTTCTCCTGGGATGTCTGTACTGTTAAAAATATAAAGAGAGTAACTGGAGAGCTGACCTGGGTTGTGTAAGTGTGTCCACAATAGAGGTCTGGGAGACCCCACCCTCCGAGCTCTTAGCCTGTTCTTATCCTTAAATCCCACCCACACACACTACGCACTCCTTCCCTACTGGAGACCTTGTCTCAGGCAGTCTCCTATATTCTAACATCCCAGATAGGAAAGTATATTACTAGAGACAACATTAAGCACATTACAAACCTTCTTATACATGGTGGTTAGGTTTAATAATGCCATTTTTATTGTATTTCAAGTACAAAGCGGATTTAATGCGCTTTTGTGGGTCATTAGGACCCAATCTCATGTCTAATTTACTTCTATCAGAAAACACCTCTCAAGTTTGAAGGAATTGATATGCAAAACAAAGTTTGGGCTACAACTTCAGCAGTTAGAAGCTAGCTCTATTAGGATGACTAAACAGCTCTTCTGTTAGCGGCTTAGAAAGTGACAAAGTATGGCCTAATATCAGCTTTTCATCGACTAGCTATTTGGACAATTTTATGCTTCAGAGCAGGGAATCTTCATTATTCCCTACATAGACATTAGGAGAATATTTTTAAAATATATTTGGAAGAATTTTTTTGAAAGGTCACTAATCTTTCTTTCAGGATATTATCTTTAAGTCTTCCAAACAAATTGCTTAACACCCCTTCTTATTTTTTATTTGCCAATTACAAAGTTCCTTTGGTATTGTTCTTGACATCATTATCTCTATTAGCCCTCTGCTTATAGCTTATATTTTTTGAAAACCATTTTAGCCCCTCTGGGAACCTTCACAAAAACTAGTTCATGCTTAACTTTTCTTTCTAATGAACAGAGTTTTTCAGGGGTTTTCTAGCTTTTTTCCTTGAAAAACTCTCCCATAATTTAAAAATTCCTCTTGATTGCTTAAAGCCCAGGTTGCTGTGAACTGTGATTGTGCCACTGCACTCCAGCCTGGGCAGCCCTCCAGTGAGAACCCATTTCAAAAAAAATTTTTTTTAATTAAAAAAAATTCCTCTTGCCGGGCGCAGTGGCTCACACCTGTAATCCTAGCTCTCTGGGAGGCCGAGGTGGGCGGATTGTTTGCGCTCAGGAGTTCAAAACCAGCCTGAGCAAGAGTGAGACCCTGTCTCTACTAAAATTAGAAAGAAATTAATTGGACGACTAAAAAATATATAGAAAAATTAGCCGGGCATGGTGGCGCATACCTGTAGTCGCAGCTACCGGGAGGCTGAGGCAGTAGGATCGCTCGAGCCCAGGAGTCTGAGGTTGCTGTGAGCTAGGCTGACACCACGGCACTCACTCTAGCCCGGGCAAAAGAGTGAGACTCTGTCTCAAAAAAAAAAAAAAAAAATTCCTCTTGAGATCCTTACTTTTTGAAATAGAAGATATTTATATTATTCTCCTTTTAAGCCCTCTAAACCAACAATGTCAAACAAAACCTCAGAGTTAGCACTCTGCCAGTTAACCCTCCTATGCTACCATCATGACCATCTTTTTTTCTCTTTCCTCAAACACTGCTGATAATAGAATTTTCCAGACAGCAATGAACACTTGACCCTGAAACTTATTCTCTTGGATTACATCTCAGCCATTACATTCAGCCACAGTAAAACTAAAGCAGAATATCACTCAGATATTTTGATCATCAGCAATAAGAATAAGTTAAGAAACTAGGACTAAAAGGTCCAAGGCAAACTTTGGAACAAAAAACAACTATCAGTATGAAATCAAGTTAAATTCCTAGAGTTTCTAAAAACCAGTGGTCAAATCAAGTTTGGAAAACAAGAAGACAGGAAATACATGGACACTAGAGACCTGTGGGTCAGAAAAGGATGCCAGCAATTAGGATGGCAGGTTTTTGTGTGTGAAAGGGTCAGTGGTAACTTGGATGTGAAGGAACAATTGCTTTAGATACTAGGCAGAAAAAAAAGTCACAAAGGAAAAAAAATTAGGTTGCTGTCAGGCTCCTGAACATAACCATACAACGTGAGATAACAGTGCAGCAGCATTTTCGTGAAACTAGTGGGAAAAAAGAGAAAGAACCAAGGCTGGGCATGGTGGCTCATGCCTATAATCCTAGCACTCTGGGAGGCTGAGGCAGAAGGATCACTTGAGGTCAGGAGTTCAAGCCCAGCGTGAGCAAGAGGCAGACCCGTCTCTACTAAAAATAGAAAAAAGTAGCTGGACATGGTGGCGTGCGCCTGTAGTCCCAGCTACTCGGGAGGCTGAGGTAGGAGGATCACTTGAACCCAGGAGTTTAAGGTTACAGTGACCTATGATGATGCCACTGCACTCCAGCCTGGGTGACAGAGTGAGACTCTGTCTCAAAAGAAAAAAAGAAAAGAAAAGAATCAAGATCTACATATAAAAATCTATTTATCTTTTTTATACATCAGCAACAGACTTCGAAAATAAAATTGAAAAAATTGTTATTTACAATAGCATCAAAAATATCAAATACTCAGCATTGAATCCAGCAGCAGCAACAATAACAACGATAAAATATGTAGGGCTTCTTTGCAGAAAACTATAAAACGGTATTGAAAAATTAAATAATACTTAAATAAGTGGAGGGATATGCCATGTTTATGGATTGGAAGACTCAATATTGTAGAGATGTCAATTCTCCCAAAATTGGTCTATAAATTAATTCAATGTCAGTCAAAATTCTGATTGAATTTTTATTTATTTATTCATTTATTTTTGAGAAGCTTGACAAACTGTTTCTAAAATTTGTACAGAAATGCTAAGGGCTAAAAATAGTCAAGACAGTATTGAAGAACAAGGTAGAAGGACTTGCTTTCTTGAATTGTTAGAATTGTTATAAAGCTGCACTAATTAAAACAGTGTATACTGGTGCAAGGATTGACAAATTGAGCAATGGAACAGAATATAAAGAGAACCATTGTAGATATGTGACAAGGATAGCACCACGGTGCAGTGGTGGAAAGCAGTTTTAATAAATGATGCTGAAGAAATTGGATACCTACATGGAAAGAAATTAAACTTAACTCTGACCTGACACCATACACAAAATATCACTTCCATGTGAGTATAGATCTAAATGGATAAGTGTAGATCTAAATTTTAGGCTAAAGCATAACATTTCTAGATAATATAGGAGACTATCATCTTGACTTTGGGTAGGGAAAGATTTCTTACACAGGCCACAAATGGTACAAATTACAGAGGAAGAAGTTGATAAATTTGACCACATTAAAATTAAAAGCTTATGTTCATCAAAAGACACCATTAAGTAAGAAAAAGACAAGCCACAACATGGGAGAAGCTATTTACAACATTAACCAACAAAGGCTTGTATCCAGAATATGTAGAGAACTCTACAAATTAATGAGAAAAAGACAGATACCTAATGGAAAAATGAGCAAGAGAGTGAACAGATACTTCAAAAAGAGGATGTCCAACTGGCTAATCAACATGTGAAAGTGTGTTCAACCTAAACTGTCATCAGGGAAATGCAAATTGAAACCATAGGTGACACAATTATATTCTCATTAGAATAGATAATTTATGATACTAAATGTGACAATATAGAATAATGGGAATTCTAATACTCTATACTGGTCCTACCACTCTGGAAAAATTTGACATTATCAAAGTTAAAAGATATGCATACATTATTACCCAGCAGTTCAACCCAATACAATGTGTGTATGCATGTGCATGAAGAATCATGTACAAAAATGATCAATACAGCATTATTTTGGTAGCTCATAAATGGAAACAACCAAAATGGTGTTATCATACATTATGGTATATACATACCATGGAATACTATACTTCAGTTAAAATTACCACATCCTGAACATAATGTGAAACAAAATAGTCTAGATACACAAAAAAACATACTGAATATGGTCCCAATTTTGGAAAGTTCAAAAAACTAAACTATAGTTTTAGGGATAAATGCTCAAATTGTAAACTATAAAGAAAATTACCGTAAAATTAAGGATACTAGATATTTCTGGAAGGGGGAAGGTAGTGATTGAGAAAGGGTATGTGGGAGTTCAGGGGGGCTCCTGTCAATCCTGTTTCTTATTCTGGGATTACTTTGTTCAGTGGGAGTTACTTTATAAATGAGACATATCCTGTGTTTGTGCACTTTTTGTAACATATGTTCTGTATTCACACACACAGAGTTAGAAAAAAGTAATTACATGTGTGTTGTATGTTAGAATAAAATACAAGGTGTTATGGATGTATAGAGGAAGGGGCTTTAAGGCTAGTGAGTGAGGGAAGGTCACACTATAGAAATTATATGTAAGCTGAGACTTAGAGGATATCTACAAGTTAGCCAGGTGGAGAGGAGAAGAATATTTTAGGCACAGGGAACAGAAAAACATATTTAAAGAATTTATTATTATGTGTGCCTGATGAATTGACTCTTTTATCATAATAAAGCATTCCTCTTTATGTATGATAATTCTCTTTGTCTTAAAGTCTATCTTATATGCCATTCCTTTCTTCTTTTTTTTTTTTTTTTGAGACAGAGTCTCACTTTGTTGCCCAGGCTAGAGTGCCGTGGCGTCATCCTAGCTCACAGCAACCTCAAACTCCTGGGCTCAAGCAATCCTTCTGCCTCAGCCTCTCGAGTAGCTGGGACTACAGGCTTGCGCCACCATGCCTGGCTAATTTTTTCAATATATTTTTAGTTGTCCGATTAATTTCTTTCTAATTTTTTAGTAGAGACGGGGTCTCGCTCTTGCTCAGGCTGGTCTCGAACTCCTGAGCTCAAACAATCCTCCCACCTCGGCCTCTCAGAGAGCTAGGATTACAGGCGTGAGCCACCGCGCCCGGCCCCATTCCTTTCTTCTTATGCTTGCTGTTTGCATGACA